ACGGAATATGAAACGATAAGCCATAATAAATGGTCGTAGGTTTCATGACCATTGAGTTTCCCGTCATTAAATTGCATTCAATTTATTTATTTATTTATTTATTATTATTATTATTATTATTATTATTATTATTATTATTATTATTATTATTATTTGGGTTATTACAGCCGTTTAGTAAAATAAACACTTATCTAATGAGTGTTTACCAGGTCATTTTACTTTATCGAATGAACATGACAAATATTAAGATCTTATCCAATAAAAGCGATGAAAAGGACCAAAAGTATTATCCAGTAAGTGAGAGTGACGACTACTAGTAGTAAGCGACTGCCAGGCCAGTCCAGGTACCTGCCGGTCTTGGTTGGTCCCGGTTCCAAATCGGTTCCCGTCCCTGACCGGGCCTGGCCCAATTTTTTTGCATCTCTACTCTCAGGTCTCAGCTATGTTCCATCTCATACTGGTGTTTGTTGTACCCAGGCCCAAAACCCTTCGTATCCAACTTAAAGAGTTGGAATCAACATGTTTAAAATTTATAAATGTTGCCCCTTGGATGTAAATGTATCATTCTTATCAATCTCCTTTGTTAGGTATGTGGTGTGTATATATATATATATATATATATATATATATATATATATATATAGAGAGAGAGAGAGAGAGAGAGAGAGAGGGGGGGGGGTAAACGAGTCAAACTTTTAACGAGCTATTCGAGCTCGAGTCGATTTTGAACACAAAATAGAACTTGTTCGACTCGGCTCGTCCAAAAATTCGATTAAATTCTCAAGTCAAGTCGAGTCACTCGAGCATATATATACTTTTTAGAAACAAACATCATCATATGTTCATAAATCATACAATTTTTTTGAGAAATTATCAAACATCAAGCCAATAAACAACTTAATCGATTGTAAGCATTGAGTTGGATAACTCAAAAATTATTCAAGCTCGAGCCGGCTATATTTTTTTTTTCAAACCAAGTTCGAATAACCAACTACTCGACTTGACCCGTTTACACCCCTAAACGTAAACGTAAGTAAATATGGGTCTCATTTTAAATGGCTTAACAAAGAACATGTTGTAACAGAAATATATATATATATACAAGGAAATAGGAAAGACCCGCAGTTACAAAACTAACTAGTTGCCTAATTTTTTTCACTTATTATTGGTACACAACGACAATGGTAACAACCTAACTTTTGCTAATAAGTCCAGTCCCACACTTCCTTTTGCTTAAACAAACCACAAATCTACAACAACGTTCATCATCAAACCCTTTGCTTTTATATCCATTTCTGAACTTTTCCTGCATCTGATGAACCACCAGAAGTACGCCCTGCTGCTAGCAAAGCAATCAGACTTCCACCGTGTACCCGCCCTTCTCCACCATTCGACCGCCTTTCTCCACCCGCCAGAATCCCAAAAGGTTCGAAACCAGATGCCATCATAGCACTAGTATCGGCTGTCATCTGTGAAGGGAACACCGTTTCTTTCATTTTTTCAGGTTGGTCGGGTGTGGTATCGTGAACCAGGGTTCCCAAGGTCGCACCACCATGGACTCGTTTATCCTGAACCAGGGCACCATGAGACGTACATAACCCGGTTTTCCCTCTGGCGAACGAATTACAGATCTGATCGTTGATTCCAAATTCTGAACCAGGTTGTCCCCATGAGCATCTCTTCCCACCTCCGTGGGCCTTGCAGAAGTCCGTGCTACCTTGAGCGCTTTTCCCGCACCCTCCGAATTGACATCTCTTACCACCACCATGGCGAACGCAACAATCGGTGCGTCCCCTTGCGCTTCTTGTGCAACCGGGAACCGCACATCTCTTGCCGCCGCCATGTGCTACACAAAATAGGGTTCCGCCATGGACGCTCTTTGGACAAACTCCACCACCTTCGTAGGCGCACCGTTTTCCACCACCATGACCCTTGCAGAAAGGAGTACTTCCTTCCGCACCCTTGGTGCACCCTTCAAATGTGCAACGTTTGCCGCCACCGTGTGCCTTGCAGAACATTGTGCTCCCTTGAGCACCTTTGGTGCATGCCGGAAACTGACATCTGCGACCGCCACCATGAGATATGCAGAGCCCCGAAAGGCCTTCGGCACTCTTTGTGCAATTTTCCATCTGGCATCTCTTACCGCCGCCATGACGGATGCACAGCCCGGATTTCCCTCTTGCTGCACGAGTGCAACCATCGTGACTACATCTTCGTCCGCCGCCATGGGCTATACAGTAATCGGTGCGTCCTTCCGAACTCTTGGTGCATCCTAAGAACTCACATCTTCGACCACCACCATGGGCTTTGCAGTAAGCGGTTCGACCCTCGGCCCCTTTATGACAACCGGGTTTTTGACATCTCCGACCGCCGCCATGGGCAATGCAAAGGCCAGAAGCACCTCTTGCTCCCTTTCCACATCCCTCAAACTGGCATGTCTTTGTACTACCGGTCCGCGGCTGCTGTGGCTCTGTGAACCCAGATGAACAGGTAACTGAACTTGTTGGCATAGTTGTTATGCTGGATGATGGATAATGTGAAGCCAGGCCAGCTGACTTTGTTTCTGATAGTGTCTGGTTAACAAAGTAATTGTTCTTTTTGTTCAGAGAATTTTGCAACAGAGGAGATGAATTTACTGTTTTCCAATGTGATGACATTGATCCATCATCCATGTGAAAGTCGCAACCAACAGGTGGTGGGATCTTATCAGAATCGGAGCTCAGATGAACAGTTGTGACATCAGACTCAGCCGGCACAGAGAAGAGACTCAATTCCAGATCAACCTGGTGTTGCAAATCCATTAATGCTTTATTAGAGGTAGATGCTTTCTTTCTGATAGGCGCCTTCTCAGCACCAAGATGAAGACTGAAGTCCAACTCTAGATCCATCGAGGACTCTTCATCAGTTTCTTTGGCAGAAGACATGGTGGTGCATCCAGTGGCTGAACTTGCCTTGCTATCTGAGGAGCTTGGAGAATGGCCTAGCCAGAGGCCTAATGGCAACCCAGCTGGCACATCCATTGATCCGTTTACCGAACTCCATTTTCTTTTGACACCTTTCAAGGCAGGAAAGGAAGGATTCAAAAAACCACATGAATCCAAACGCAATGTAGTATCTGTGATATGACTGGCTCCAGGTACAGAGCTGCTCAGGTTTCTAAAGGCATCAGACACATGGTTTGCAGCAAAACCCATATTACGGAACCTGGAATCCATTGAAGTTATTCGCAATCTCTTATTTTACTGATCACACCTTATTAGCAAAAGAACGGGTCGACTGACTTCTGGGCTATAAATATATCTACAAAATTAGAGTAAGATATTTCTAAGCTATAGATCTAGGGTTAGGTATTTCTCAGCATACTAGGGTCAGCTGTCAACATTTCTTGAGTACACCCCACCCCCGCTGACAAAACCTGAAGTATCACGTCGATCCATTTGCTTATATTTTAATCTGGAACTATATCAATCAGCTATAGTAACTGATAAGAATTCCGCAAGAATGCTCCAGCACAGCCTCTTGAATTGTTCATCCTGTTTCACATAAGTCACATGAGATGGAGACTAATACATAAAAAATGATCATTTGGAGGTTTAGCGAATGAAGACCAACACATAAGTCACATGAGATGAAGACTAGCACATGATATCTAGAGGTTTAGCACATGGAGGAACTAACAAAGCATATATATAAAGCTTTTGTACAACTAGAAGTAATTAAAGTTAAGAATCTCAAGAGGACGATCAAGTAAAAGGAACCAACATGTTGCCAGAGTTAGTTTGATAGATCCCTGATATAATTTTTGCAAGAGTAATTGCAACACGGTATTATGCTTCCTTGCCGTTCGAAAAAGAAATTGCAACACGGTATGCCTCTACGCAAGGTTAAATGAGCAAGAGCAATACACCAAGATCTGCCTTCTAATAAGGTAAACTACAAGCTCTGTGTATATACATACAGGAATTGTAGAAATCAAAATTCTAGATCTAAGAAAAGAAGCAAGTTCACTAAAATAAAATTTTCTGGTAAAAAAACGATGAAAACACATATCAATATCATCGATTAAAATTGATATAATATAAGCAGTCCAAGAGGACCTATTCCTCCCGACTCCAACCCCATCTCCACCCTCCAATAAGAATAATCAAATAAATAAAACCATGAATCAAAAAAGGGATAAACAAAAAATGATGTGGAGTCATTCAATTTGGTTATACAGCAGAAAAACATATTAATATGAACAGATGTTGCATAACCTCTAAATAACACACAAAATTAAACACGATGTAACAGTTTAACTACATTTCCACAAAAAGTAAGCTCAAAGTTTGGATTTACCACAAAGTTCCTTTCCGTTCTTCTTCTCCGATCAGACGATGGATCAACAACACTTGCAGCAACTAATCTGTCATAGCAAAAGAACAAAATCAACGGATCAATTTTAACAAAATAAACATCCAACAAGCAACAGTTTCGATTATCGACAATCAAAATGAATCCAAAACCACAAAAATCACATCACGTGAAACAATTATAACATACAAAACAAACTAATCGACGGCCTTAGAGTTAAATCAGCATGATTCAACGAACAACAACAGCCGATGAAACATATATTGAATCAGAAACAAAGGAAAGCAAGCAAATTAAAGCACGCAAACTCAGAATTACCTCGAAATCCGGTCGATTCGGTAGCGATGATAGACAGAGAGAGATGAATTTATATATTTAGGGGTTTTGGGGCGCCGGCTAACGATACAGAGCGAATTGCGATTTGTACGTCGTATATATATAACCGAGAAAGAGAGTGCGTGTGGAAATTTACTGATGATGACAAAAAAGTGGCGCATGATAAAAAGATGGGGCGTAGGTTAAAGAGCATGTTCTAACACTTTATTGTTACATTTTTTTATATATAAAAAAAAACTATTTCCAGATCAGAAGACTTTGCTGCCAGGGCAATTCTAAAAGCTTTGAGTATCGTATTGTCATATCCACCCTTCATTTTCCACCAACACTTATTCTTTATCGTTTACTTAAAATTAACTTTTTTTTTATCATTGATTTATTTTTTAATTTTGTATATATTTATTTATCAAGGAAAAGTCTCTAAGAATATTAATTTTAGGGAAAAGTCTAAAACAACCCAATAGACTTTAGTGTTTGGAATGATTAAGTTCTTAAACAATTTTTTGGAACAAATAAATTCTTGGACATTTTAAAACATGTTAAATAACTCCTTGTACTTTCTAAAACCTGTTAGATACATCCTTATAACCTATACAACTGGTTAATGTGGTAAAATAATGGAAAAAGTCCAAAAAGAAACCCAATAAACATTCATATTTTGAACGATTAAGTCCCTAAACATTTTTTGAACCAAAAAAATATTTAGATCTATAAAATCAAACAAATATAACAAAAAATTACTTACATTTACAAAAAAAAAATAGTTACATTTAAAAATATTTTTTGATAAAATTTATTTTAATTAAAATAAAAATATATTTTGTCAGTGATTTTTCAAACAAAAAAAAATTATTATTAAATTTATTTTAATTAAAAATATATATATCATGTATGTGATTTTTTAAATTAAAAAAAGATTTAAAAAGATTACTGGTGAAATTTATTTTAATTAAAAATAATATATTTTATAATTTTTTTTATTTTTTTTAGTTTAAAAAAGTCACTGACAAAATATATTTCCGGATTTTT